CACGAACAGTGTCCACGTCGGGATGGTCTGATCGACCTGGCCCGTGGCCTGTTCAGCCTCAACAGCCTCTTTGACCTGTTCGGCCTTGGCTTCCTTTGTGGCCTGTCCGACCCCGGCAAGTCCCTCGGCCTGCTTGGCCTCGACTGCGTCTATGGTCTGTTCGACCATGGAAGTCTTAGTGCCTTTCACGACCTCGGCAGCTTCTCCGACCTGCCCGACTTTAGCCACGTCTTGGGTCGACTTGGTCTCGGCGGCCTGCGCGACCTCGACAGTTCCTCTGGCCTGCTCGGCCTTGGCTGCGCCTCTGGTCAGCTCGGCTTGCAACTGTTCTTGGCCAAAGGAGATTCCTTCGGCTATGAAATCTGCTAATGCTTGAGTCTTAATGGCCGTGCGGGGTTGGTAGTTGAGATCGTATTCAGACAGCTCCACGGCCCACCTTACCATTCTTCCTGATGCATCAGGCTTTGAAAGAATTTGCTTGAGAGGTTGGTCGGTCATGACCACCACGGGGTGAGTTTGCAAATATGACCTGAGCTTCCGGGTCGCGTGCACCAATGCTAGAACATACCGCTCAATTGAGGTGTACCTTTGCTCCGCCCCCTGCAAAGCTCGGCTGACATAGTATATGAGTTTCTGGATCTTACCTTCTTCCCGAACTAGTACCGCACTGATCGCTTCCTCCCCAACTGCAAGATAGATAAATAAGACCTCTCCTTGTGCGGGAGAGGTCAAGGTTGGCAGGCGAGCGATGTGGGCTTTTAGCTCGTCAAACGCTTGCTGGCACTCGGGAGTCCACTCGAACTGGGGACCTCTCCGCAGGGCCCTGAAGAAGGGGGAGCCACGAACGGCTGACTTTGATAAGAACCTGTTCAGGGCCGCCATCCTGCCAGCTAGCCGTTGGACCTCTTTTATGTTTCGAGGAGGAGCCATGTCCATGATAGCTTTTACCTTGTCGGGGTTAGCTCTTACCCCGTCCTTGGATATCATGTACCCCAAGAACTTGCCCGACCTGACCCCGAAGGTGCACTTCTTGGGGTTCAGTCGCATCCGCGAGCTCCGTAGGACGCCAAAAATCTCCCTGAGGTCATCAATGAACTGCTCCTGAGTTCGACTTTTTACCAGCATGTCATCCACGTACACCTCCATATTTCGTCCGATCTGGTTCTTAAACAACTTATTGACCAGCCGCTGGTAGGTCGCGCCTGCATTTTTCAATCCAAATGGCATAGTGGTATAACAATACGTACCGTATTCGGTGATGAAGGCAGTCTTCTCCTGATCTGCCTCGTCCAGAGCTATCTGGTGATACCCTTTGAAGGCATCCAGAAAGCAGAAGATCTCGTACCCAGTGGTCGAGTCGACTAGCTGGTCGATGCGAGGGAGGGGGTAACAATCCTTCGGACAGGCCTTGTTCAGGTCGGTGAAATCTACGCACATCCTCCAGGCCCTGTCCTCCTTTTTGACCAGCATAGGGTTGGCCAGCCAGGTCGGATAGTAGATCTCCTTCACAATTTTGGCATCCAACAGCTTGCCTACCTCTCCCTTGACGACCTCGTTGCGCTCGGGCGCGAAGTTCCTCTTCTTTTGCTTCACTGGCCGAATGTTTGGGTCAGCGTGCAATTTGTGAACCGCCAGCCCGGGAGGGACTCCTGGCATGTCATCAGCACTCCACGCAAAGATCTCAGCATATTCCTCCAGCAGGGACTCCAGAGCTCTTCGTGTCAGGTCGCTCAGGCCAGCTCCGGCCTTTACCACGCGATCAGGTCGCTCGGGACAGATGGGCAATTCGACCAGACTCTCATCCGTCTCCAGCCTTTCCTCCTTTTCAGCAGGCTCCCAGGGTTCCAGACAGGTCGTTTGGGCCACCAGCTTCTCCTTACCTTTGAGGGTTGCGATGTAACAGGCCCGAGCTACTTCCGGGTCCCCCAACACCTCGGCCATCCCATCAGGCGTCGGGAACTTCATGCTAAGGTGCAGGGTCGAACAGACAGCTCGGAGGGCGTTCAAGGTTGGTCGCCCTAGTATCATATTGTAGGAAGACGGCTCCTTTACTACCGCGAAATTCACCGGGACAGTTCGGCACTTCGGTGACTCCCCCACCGTGACCATGAGGGTTATCATCCCCTCTGGTCTAACCGGCGGGCTTGCAAAACCTATCAAAGGAGTCCGAACTGGGATGAGCTGTTTGTCCTCCAGCTGCAATTCCTTGAAGGTTTTGTAATACAGCACATCGATGGCACTCCCATTGTCGATGTACACCTTCTTCACCTTGTAGTTACACGTGATAACTTCTATCACGATCGCTTCATGGTTATTGGAGGCTAAGGGTACCGCGTCTTCTGGCCCATAGATGATTTCCTCGTACATTTTCAAACGTTTGCTCGAACTTTCCCCGCTTGGGGGAGGTCGGTTGTTTCGTCGAGCCGTGTGGCTATCTCCTCCAGCAGGTCCCCCCGCAATGGTGTTGATCACTCCGGTTAGGTTCTGGAGCCCCTGCTCCGGAGTACGATCACGGGGACCTCGAGGTCGGTCATGCGAGCTAGCCGTCCGATCTCGCTTGAACCCTCCTTGCTTCTGATCTGCACGTCCGTCACGGACGAACTGCCCAAGATGACCTCTCCGTATCAGTTTTTCGATCTCCTTTTTGAGGTGCCGACAGTCCTCCGTGTCGTGCCCGACGTCCCTGTGGTACGCACAATACAAGCCCTGGTCGCGCTGGGTTTTGTCACCCCCCAACGGCCGAGGAGGGCGAGAGATCCCTTGCTGTTCCATCACAGCCAAAACCCGAGCTCTGGGCGCAGTGAGCGAGGTCCAGGTCTTTTCCTTCTCCCATGGTCGGCTCCGAGGCAAGCGCTCAGGTATACTTTTTCGGCCCTGACCTGGCCGTGTCTCCCTCAGGTCGGCACCCTTCCGGCTCTTGTCATCCCGCAACCTTTCCTGGGCGCCCTTCAGACGGTTGGCCTCCTCGGCATTCGCCTTCTCGTGGGCTCGATCTAGCATCTCCCGGACGGATTTGGGAGGTCTTTCTACAAACTCCGTATACAACTTCTGCTTGCGTAACCCGTTGACAAAGGCGGCCATCACCACCTTGTCATCTCGGTCCCGCACCTGAAGGGATTCATTGTTGAAGCGTACCATATACTCACGTAATGACTCCTCGGGCCCTTGATGAACAGTCATCAAATGGGCCGTAGTTTTGGAATAAGCGCGAGAGGAGACGAACTGGGCCGCAAACAGCCGCGCGAGCTGGCTGAACGATCGAACCGATCTGGGAGGCAAACCCTGGAACCACTGTCGAGCCTTTCCTTCCAGGAACATTGGGAAAGTCTTGCACCTAACCGCATCCGCGGCTGTCTGCAGGCGCATCTGAGTCAGGAACGCAAACAAGTGATCCTCCGGATCCGTGGTCGCGTCGTAGGACTTCATGGATGGTATTTTGAACTTGGCAGGCAGAGGGTAATCTTCGATATCCGGTACGAAGGGAGAGGCAGTGTACCTATCCGCCTCTGGATCCAGCAGGAGATCCAGTTCATCCTGGACCTGGTAATCCTCCTTCCTGTGAGGGACCTCCATCCGAGAAGGCCTCAGAACGGGTTCCGGATGGCTAGTTCGGGAATTCCTATGAGAGGGCTCTGGCACCTGGACCTGCTCGCGTGTAATCTCCCTTCGCGCCCTCTTCGACCTGGGGCTTCCAGATCGAGATTCCGAACTCCCTGTTCTGCCCGTTTTTCGCACCCGACGCTCCGGACTGGGGGGGACTCCAGATTGTCCCTTCACTGCACCAGATTGTCCAGATTGTCCAGATTGTCCCTTCAGGTACGTCACAATAGCCTCAAAGGTAGGCAAGTTCGCGGCAACCGACTGCACCAGTTGTTCCGGCGAGATCTGCGAGAGCTCGACCCTTACCTCCCCTGTGTTGGTTTCCTGGTGAACTTGTTGGGGACCGCCCTGTGCGTTCCCCTCAGCACCATCCACATTCCTCTGAGATCTGGTCTTCGGCATGTTGTTCGCGAAAAAAAGAGAAGAATACGTTTCCCACAGACGGCGCCAATTGATGCGACTGCCGAAGTGAAGATCCGAACTGTCCTGGGTTCGGAGGAACGAGCTGGTTGAGTGTCCGACTTACACGTGAGCGAGCTGCTGGGCTGAGTCCCCTGTAGCAACTCCGACGGTCAAGTCAGAACTAGTTTGTAAGTAAAAAGAATAGAGTCTGCACTATGAGTAGCGTACCTTGTGTTCTACCTTCGTGTGATATTTATAGAGCCTCCAATGGCTGTTTCCTGGTAAGACAAGGAGTCTTTGCTGGGAAGGAAAGCGGTTCTTAGGGCTCCGTGATGCGATTTGGAGGTGCGGCCCTCGCAGCCCATCAAGCCCATCGGTCTAAGAGGCGGCACTCGCATGGACCTGCGAGCTGACCTGGCACCCCAGTCCAGCTCCTCCTGTCCGAGCTCGTGGGCCGGATCGACGTGTGCGTGGACCGGGCCGAAGTGGACCTGGGGCCCACTACACCATCCATTACGCTGATGGGAACTCCATGACTCGTTATTCTGAAAAAACCCCAGGTCTCTGCTGCTCTACGAATCTCGTCCACGGCCTCCTTTCTTCTAGCACCGTCAGTTTCAATCCCCTGAAGATCAACGCACGGGATCTGCAGCAGCCCATCATTAATTCCATTAACATTGTTAACAGTACTAGTTGATAGCAGACTCTGCTGGGCTGCTGCAGCCGGGGATTGAATGAAGAACTTGGGAATCCTGGTCACACCAGAATCCACCAACCCTTTCACGCCGCCTCTGCTTTCTTCAAAAGCTTTCACTTCTTGAGCCCAGTCATGTCGAAGACTATCATCATCCTTGTTAATATGATGTTCCATGTTTCTTCTGCAAGATAATACAATTGCTTCTCTTTCTCTATCTCAGGCCAGTATACCAGTACTTGCCAGAATAGTATTAGTATATACAAATATGCTACACGCAGCTGCTGCGATGCTGAGGTACAGCCACCGCGCCACCATTTTATTAATTGAGACATGGCGGTCCAGAAGCAACTCTTTTCGGATCGGCCTTCATAAATTTAGAGGTTACCTACCACTACTTTCTTTCCTTTTTCTTCTTATTACTATATATATAATTGCCAGCTGCTACCGACAGACAAGCAACCTGCTCCTACCTATGGCCTTGATTTTTTTTTTTTTGAAAAATATATAATATGCCTTGGTGTGTTAAGACGTACATGGATTTGCTTGGATAGTAATTTATTTGTCAAATTTTATTTATTTGCATAATTAATATATTTTTAATTATTTTTTTCTTTACATACGTTATATTAAAAAAATAAAAAAATAAAAAGACTCTCCGAAGTAGCACGCCTGACCTGGTATAAGAATGGGCGACGGGCCCATTGAACAATTTCCTTTGGCCCAAGGCTATGGAACAGAGAAATCTTTTTCCATCTCCAACTAACAGTCCAAATATCTGACCCAACAGATTTGGCCTGCGGCGAACACAGCCCAAACCATGTAATCTCGTCCCCGCTTTAGTCGGCCGTCTCGGTGTTTAGTGTACCTCCTTTCCTTCCCTGCCGCGACTACGAGTGGAGACTGGTGATCTCTTTCCTCCTCCTAAGTCCTAACACAATCTGATCTGGTGGCTGGAGTACCACTTCTTTAATAATTTAACTGCACCGTTCGCCGCATAAAATGGGGAGTTCGGTGGTCGGTGGCGTACTGCCTAGACATCCCATTCCTGTTCTGTAGCTTTGCGTTTTACTATCTATCAATACCAGCATTTGCCTATGGCTAAGAATCAGACAGTCAAGCGCTTCCTTACCAACATAGGTACGTGAAAATTCAGCTCTTGCTAGCTTTCACTTAACTACTTCTGCATCACCTGTTTTTAGGATTCCAAGCTTGTTTGGGCAAATGCCCTTTATCTATATTTATCTTTTGATGAAGGCTTCTTTTTTTTTGATTGCAGATTTTAGTATCGGACTGTTAAGGAAGCGAGAGTACCAGAAATTTGTATATAACGTTGTTAATCGATGCCAGTCACAATGGTCCAAGTCTGAAAAGGTGGAAAGGGATGATGTTTTCAAAGATTCTAAGGGCGGGCCAGAATCACAGGTTCCTTTGAAAACTAATAATGTTAATTACCCAGATTATGAACCTCGTTTTAGCAAATACACCTCAGATGAAGATGATTTCGTTACGAATACTAATAACAAGTGGAAGCTTGAACTTGCTTGGCTCACTAAAACTCTTGAACCTGCACTTCAGCTCTGTAGATGGGCTTTGCCAACAGGTTTTATTTTTTAATTTTAATTTACTTCTTTTCTTTTCTTTTTTAACTTTTGTTCATTGATATTTCTTGTAATGTTTGATGGATGCTTTGAAAGCTACGCCATTCTGCAAAATGGCGAATTACGACTGTATTTGACTTATCCAAGTGTATGTGTTACCCTGTCACAGAATTCAGCTTTCCCTGGCCTAAAGTTAGATACTGTTTGGTTGGGACTTGGGAAGTATGTGTTTTGTTGTCAGCTTTCAGTTTTGGAACCACAAATTTCAACATTACGCTTCTTTTTTTTTTTTCCTTTTTCTGTGAGTAGATTAAAAATAGAAAAAGAACAGAAAAAAAATATTCTACCTATGGAAATGGTTTTTTACTTTAATAAAATCATCATCTTTATGGTTAAGAAGAGCTTGTTGTGGAATCTGTGAGTGCTTACCTTTTTAGACTAATTTGATACTGATATCGCAGCCCCTGGAAACGGGGATAGAGTCCCTCCTACGAATAGGTCCTTTGCAGAGATTATTTCCAGCATCCAAAGGAGTAAGATTGGACTTCAGGATTGGAGTCTCAGTGATCTTACTATAGGCTTGTATCTCATATATCTTCAGCAAGCTTCAACAAATAAAGTTGAGGATGTCAAGGGCGAGCAAATCTCCTCAGAATCAATAGTACTGATCAAAGTCTTAAACTTTTACGGTTATCTATCGTCATAAAGTTACGCTGAGAGATAATGGATTTGAAGAGTTTTCCTTTATTTTTGTTTCTGTTATGTTTTTCAAATTCTTATTACCTTAGTGTTCCTTGTTTTAGGTTCATGATCTCATATACCACATGGAACTAGCAAAAGGGGCCTACAAGGATAACCCTAGCATTCTAGCTAAGATTAGCATGCTCAGAGAAAGCAATGTTGTAAAATTTGTGAAGAACTCTGGTGTCTTGAGGCCTGGGTATTACATAGGTGTTGATATGAAAAGGAAAAATGTAATTCTTGGCATACGAGGAACTCACAATGTGTATGACCTCATTACCGACATTATTACTTCAAGCCATGAAGAAATTACATTTGAGGGCTATTCAACACACTTTGGGACAGCTGAGGCTGCTCGATGGTTTCTTCGGCACGAGTTGGGAACCATAAGGAAGTGTCTGCAGGAGCATGAGGTGCTGCATTTGCACATCTTCTATGGCACATTTGTCTTTATCTAATGTTTTATGTGCTTTGTAACTCTACTTGGGAGACTGATTTATCTACAGGGATTTAGGTTAAGGCTTATTGGTCATTCTCTAGGGGCTGCAACAGCTTCTTTGCTGGCGATAATGCTCCGCAAACAGTCAATTAAGGAGCTTGGTTTTGACCCTCAAATTGTTTCAGCCGTTGGGTTTGCTACTCCACCTTGTGTCTCAAAGGAACTGGCTGAAAGTTGCTCCAACTATGTTACAACCGTTATGATGCAGGTTATCAACAAAATTCTGCTTTCCTGTTCACTTTTCACTAGATTTTGCACCTGGACATGCTTCTTGTTGATTTTTCTATTTGTGCCACATTTTGGTTGCTTCTAATATCCTTTTTTCCATCACAGGATGATATCATCCCAAGGTTAAGTGTCTCTTCTTTAGCAAGATTGAGAAATGAAATTCTTCAAACTGATTGGTAAGAGAATAACCCATTGGGACCTCATACAACTCTTAAAGAGTCCAATATTGGCTCAGTTGTTCAAAATTCTATTCTCAAATATCTGTTTATGTGTATGTGGGCACGCACTATTTGGTCATTTTTCTTAACTATAATATTAGTTAATGAGAAATTTTGTTCTTTTTTGTGATGTTTTGTCATTGAAATTCTTAATGTTTTCTTGACAGGGTGACTGTTTTTGAGAAGGAAGACTGGAAAAGAATAGTAGAACTTGTTACAAATGCAAAGCAGGTTGTGTCTTCTGTGCAGGATGTCGCTCGGAAGCTTGCTGATTATGCCAAGTTGAGAGGGCAGACTAAATTTTCTGGTATGTTTCTCTTGACAAGGGTGCATGAAATGCCTAGATATAAAAATTTGATCTATAGCCTTGTTAAATCTACGTTAAGAGCATAGTATTGCTGCTTTTCCTGTCAAGTTTGGAGAAGTTAGAATACTGGCAGTGCGAATTCTGGTTCCCATCGTCTGTTAAAACTAGTTGCAACTTCTTGATATTCCAATAATTTGCTTTTCAGGACACTTTGGATTAGATATTGAGGTAATGACGTTTCTAGCATGTAAGGACAACCTTGACTTTGAAAATTATGATGGGTTACAGAATGCGATCCAATTTACTATCTGCAGGTATATGAAACAAGAAAACTATTGGGACACCATCTAGAATGGACTAATTTTTCTCTTGCAGGGAGCCCTGAATTTACTTGTGATATTTCAATGTAATCGAAAAAGGAGACTGGACATATCAAGAACAATTTTGTTCTCACAGGAAGCCCTGAATTTACTCATGATATTTCAAAATAATTGAAAAAGGAGACTGGACATATCAAGAAGGTTGACTGATATGTACTTCTTTGCAATTCCAAATTTGGGTTTTTGTGTGTGACTGATGGTTTTCTCATCAAAGCATGTGTTCCTCATTATGGAATTCACGTAAGGGTTGTATGTTCCAGGATATGCAGAATTTGACAAATGTTTGAAATTATAATGGCTATTACTTGTGTGTGGTGTGAGATCTTGTCAAAGGGACTATTTTTGGTTATGAAGTCTTGTTGATGATTTACTAAAACTGTGCAGAAATCCCTGCCAGAAAGGAAGGGCTAATGGGGGGCCCTAGCATTTCTTCGACTTCAATTTCAGCTGATCCAGCTAAAACTCTTTCTGAGGAAGAAATATCGTGCTCAATGCCCGAGGAATTATATGCACCTGGCACCCTTTACTATTTGAAGAGGAATGTTGTCTGTCAAAGGAATGGCAAAAGTGAGGAATTTTTTACGCTGTGGAAGAGGAATCCTGGTGAACATTTGCGGAAGATACTGCTCTCAAGCAATTTAATTTCAGACCATAAATGTGATAGCCATATTTATGCCTTGAGAGATGTACTCAAAGGTTTGCCTGGCTCACATGATGACAGGCTTTTCCAATGAATAAAAATTTTGGTTCGTCCGTAAAGCTGTACAGAAGTTATTTTTGGTCCGAGGGATCAATTTTGAATATTTTCAGTTTCACTCACCTGTAATGTCGAATAGATGCAGTTTCACTCTGTCGAATAAAGTAAAATGCTTTATAGCGAAAACTTTGATCAAATCTGCAGCAGGGAAAGAGACCTTGGTCGAAGAGGGAACTTATTCTGACGCTCAAACGGGCTTAATTAGGTGCTGCTTCTTTTCAATTCTCCACTTAAAAGCAAAAGTTTCCCTCGAATAAACCCAAAAAAGAAAAAAATCAGGGAGCGAAAGGCGGAAGACACTGAACAAGTTTCCAGGGCCATAGGTTGAAATGTGGGACTAAGATTTCTGTGTTTCTCAAGTTTGTTCCCAGTTAATTTCGAGTTTTACTTTCATAAAATATGTTGTTCCAATGCTTTGTTGTCTAATGCTGAGAGTGCAATGGAGTCAAGTTCAACTCGAGTAGTTACTCGAATTAAAAAACTTGAACTTGAATTCGTTGAATTCTTAAAAGTTAAGCTCAATTTTGTTTTGCATTACTCAACCTCAAGCTCATCGAATACAGTTGAGCTTAATTTGAGCTCAACTGGCCTTAATCAAACCTAATTGAGTCTGAGAAATATGAACTTATATTTTATACAATTTTAAATACGGGACAAAATAGGTATTTCATACTAATAGATAAAAAAAATTTTTAAAAAAAACTCATATATGTGTTGGCTAATAAAGTAGCTCGAGATTAAACTCAAATTTGATTAACGTGACTTTGAGCTCGAACTTTAACCAAACAATTCGGCGAGTTACTCGATCAATCTCAACTCGTTTACAACCCCAGCTGGGCTAGTTGGGCGAGGGGCTCCTGATTAGGGCCTAAGAATGTACAGGTCCATGCCTGCGGAAAATAGAACCAAGTGCCTGGGTCCATTAGCTTCTACTTATTAAACTCGTCGGGTTTATGAATCTCAGATAAAGTAGACTGCACTACGTCAGAAAACGGAGCAGTTGACATAAAAATGAGCATTGCTTTTCTGGATTACGAAATAGTAGTAGTAGTACAATATTTTAGCAGTCTAAGACCGGTTGGGCTTTTCAAAACATTGCCAGCCCATATACGCATATAAAAATTAGTGCAGTCCCTTTCCGGTTCAAGGTCAAACAAAAGTTCATGTGCTCCAAAAAGTGCTATTCTTGGGAAGCATTAACGCTTAATGCTCTCGCGTGTCACGGACACAATTCTCATAAACATTTACTTACCACAACAAAAGTGAACATAGCTATAAAATCCTGCTTTTGGTGGGGCTCTACTGTTCAAGTGTGTCTCTCCTACACTTCACCCCAACTTTAAATACTACTATTCCGTTTCCGTATTGATTTATTAATTAAAAAAAATGATGCTCAGCCCGCTACAAAAAGAAAATGAGTAACGCTTCCCTGTTTGGATTGCATTTTTCTAGATTTTTTTTTTTTGGTTAAAAAATTACTGTAGCGATTTGATGTATGTGAGGCAAAAAAGGTATTGAAAAATATGTTCACGAAAAACGTAGCAATTTTTGTTTGCTGTCCAAAAGATTCACACCCATCATGACGAAATTTTTGCAATATAACAAGCTAACTTCAAAAATCCACATTTTCGCATTGATATCTTTTTTGTTGTCACTCTAAATCCATCGTGGATCAAGAAAAACCAACTAAACAGAAATTAAAGGCTCCCCGTCTCCTTTTGAAGTTAAACAAACCGATAGGCCGGTCGTGACAAAAATTTCTGAGGAAATTCTTGTACGCGGCAATCTGTTGGTCAAATGACGCCTAACTGTTTGAAGTTTGAAGGAGATGTCCTTCTTAAATCTTGGAGACAGTAATGGTACGTAGACGGTAGGGGTGGATTATTCTTCGCTCCAGGTAATGTGCACTCTGCTAAATAACGTGTCACTAGATTTCTCAATCACTTCATATATACAGATTCCAGCCCAAGTCATTCACGAGAAAAAGAACAAAAACATCCCTCTCATTGTCTTCACTAATCAAGACGACCTCTGCATTGTGCTCTCTTCTGAGTTCTTAATCTTAGAAATTAATTCAATCCCCATTTCATGGTTTGGACTTTGAATAAGTGCCTCCTCTTCAAACTACAACGCAACTTGATGGAAATTAATGTCAGTGGAGTGTAGATCACACACAGTGTGGACAATGAGTAAAAGTAAACAAGAAGGTTTAGTCTTGAAAAGGAAGCTTTCTACAATTGTCCCTCGAGCATCTAGCACTAGCTACCGGTGGCATTTCCTCACGAAATTCTTTTTGTCCAAATCGAAACTGATGATTCAACTTGAAATGGGGTATTGTTCACGAGCTGAGCTGCATTGTCAAATTATTTCTTTAATCTTGGTGTAGCTTCGAGGAGAGAATTTAGTCCGTGTTTTAAGACTCGGAATTTTTGAATGCTTAAAATATCAATTATGTATGAGATAAGTGATGAGGCCCCTCCCCCCCCCCCCTTCCTTTCGTTTTGTTTTTAAAGGCTTTTAAATAAAATCTTAATTATATGGTAGTCGTAGCATTAAGTATGGTTTCTAAGAGTACTGGATGTATGGCATAATGACAACATGATTATGTGTAAATTTAGTCAAGAAAGTCTTGTACATTAATCAAATAATGAGTAGGTTCCATCTCTCGTGTTATTATTGTTCTTTTTTTCCCCCCTTTTTCTTCTGGATTGAGAGAACAAAATTTAAAGAACAGATAGAATATAGTACAATTTTAGTCTTGAAGCCTGAATGCAATTGATCTGGGCAATCATCCTTGCACGTGCAATGGCCCCATGAGCAACCTCTTTGTCTGCTTGACCAGTCCATGTCCGCATCATTCTCCAACACCTTAACTTCTCCATTCAAACAAACATGACTTTGATAGCTCCTCCAAACTCGACAAAAAATATGAATTTTTATTCTTCTTTCTTCTTTTATTTATTTATTTATTTATTTTTTGTGCCAAAGATATTATTAATTTGTATTAATGTTGTGAACTGGCTATTATTCCAAGATATATAGATATGGAGGAAGCAAACTCTGCTATGGTCATCTTCGATTCATTTACCTAACTCAACTGGCAAATGATTCATGCAGTAAATTAAACTCGTGTCTTTGTTAGAGCGCGGATTGCCTTCTTTAAAAGCGTGTTTGTAAATGAGGATATCCGAAACCTGCAATTATGACAGACAAAAAATATCGTGAAGACCATTTATTTTGAGGAAAGAATTGATCAAAGATCGAATGATACAAATTTAGAAGAAACTTCAAAGGCAACCCTTCTCTTTTTTCTTTTCTTTTCTTTTCTTTTGGGGGTTGTTGGGGGGGGGGGGGGATGTGTTTGCAAAAGAGGACTTTAAAAATACCTGAAATTCATTCTTTATTATTCAACCTTCGAAGAGATAAAAAGCTAGAATGCATGCATGGAGTTCTTGAGCACATTAATTTATGCTAAACCTGCCATGTATTAGCTGGTAGAAAAATGTCAACTTAAAGCTCCGAGGAGCATATACAACGTTAGAAAATCACCCCAAGTTCTTAGGGGCTGGCTAATAAATCATTCAACTGCCGACTTGAATTTCACCTCAGTCACCAAAAGCTAAAAAAAAAATTGTTCTGTTTTAAATCTACAAGGCATTTATCATCATCTGAATATATTTCTTTCATAAAAAAAAAAAAGGAAGACAAATATTTTTAAGAATAAAATAGAAAACATGAGTCATGTCTTAGCAGCGAGAAGAACCGGAAGCAGAAGAAACGCAGGAGGGAGGACGCACGCGAATGAGCCAAACCAGTCGAGTCCCAGTCATACATAGACCCGTATTTCGTCGTCTTGTGGTGGCTCCGGCGGATGACGTGGATGGATGGTCCAAAGTTTGTGGGGTCTGCCCAAGAGTACGGACCCACACATTCAACATGACGACTTGAGGTCTTTTCTTTTGTCCTTCCTTTTAATCCTTGATTGGTTAATGCATGGAAATAGAAAAATGGTTTTTCAAATTAATAGGGCCACTCGTGCGGCAAGTCAGCGTCAAATCCTTTCTCTCTTTTATAGCTTAATTCCCTTTTTTTTTTTTCGCCCTTTCTCTTTAAAAAAAAAAAAAATTTGTCGTTTTGCGTCCTTCAAACCTGATAAATAACTGTTGAATGTTTTATTTTACGTGCAAGATTATAGTATTGTAACTGGAGTGGGGCCGTCCTTAAAGCCAGTTTCCATTTGACCTTTTGTCCTCCCCATTTTTTTTTGCAATTTGCGCAAGGAAATTTTGAGAAATGGTCCTTCCTTTAAGTGTTTGGATTACAAGATTTTTTTTTAAAAAAAATTTTGTTTTACTTGCATCATACATATAATTTTGATCACCTTTTTATTTTACATACATCCTATCACAAAAAGTGCTACATTAATTATCTCAAATCTATTTACATGCATTCGATTTCTCCTGAAATTTGATACTCCATAGTTAAATTTATTTCCGAATGGATTTACATTTAGCTGTGTTTTTTTAGAGGGTTTAGAATTTTGCAAAATTGAGTTTTGTGGAAATGTATATTTGGAGATGGTAAATTTGTCTTGTCACACCATCCAAAGACTGCTCATGTCTGTTTACAGCTTAAAGAGCATATAATATCGCTCTAATTAAAGGGGCATTTAAGAGGCTAATCATAAATTCTTCCCGAATGAAAGATTAATCTGCTTGTGAACCGAATGACGTGCAATATTTCCTCTGTCGTGATTATGAAAATTATAGTATTACTGTTACAGATAGTCGGCAACTATACATAGCTGACAGATTTTATATACTGCTTTGAAACTTGAAAAACTAGTTTTTAATATATATATATATATAGTGACAAAAATTCAAAAACATAGAACTCTAAATTGTCTTCTTCTTTCCTTGCTTTCATGGAAAGGCAGTATCTCGATAAAATTTGTCGCAATTTTTCAGTTCAATAATCTGTAGCAACAATGATTTCTTTTCTCTTCCCCAATGGAATAAAATGTTGATAGTACTATTGCATGCCAAGCTTCTCAAGTGAAAGTGTGACGAATGCGTACGAAAAATGTGTTAATCCAATAAAAAAAACACAAATTTTTAGGCTACAAA